TTTTACTACTTTCATTTTTAAAAGAATTTCAGTGCCCGCAATGGCATGTAAAATCATCACATGAAATAGTTTTTTTATAGAATAAATTCTTAATTACTTTGTAATTTAAGCTCACAAGGCACTTACGAGCAGATTTTTGTGAGTGTGCAAAAATCTCATTCAGCACATCCCTGTCAAAATCAACCTGGGAATGTGAGTGCATTTCATGCATGTCCCGCAGTCGGGATGCATAAAGTGCTGTGTGTGTGTGTGTATGAGAGAGAGAGAGAGAGAAATGCTCTTGTACGAGTGTGTCCCTCTCGTGGGTGAGATTCTGGTTCGGGGAACACAATTAGCACACATAGCAGAGTCTATTTATGCCATTGGGAGAGAAACATGAAAATATATGTGAGTAGAGGCCTGCTGGAATACCGAGACAGAGTGTGTGTGTGTGTGTGTGTGTGTGGCTGTGACCTTGCTCTGCTCCCCGATCTATGTCCAGATCTACCTCTCTTTCTCCATCGCTCTCTCTCTCTTTTCACTATTCCCCCCGCCCTCGCTATCAGCAGCCATGGTAAAATAAATAATGCATCAAAACACATTAAAAACATTAGCTGGGCTTTACTGCCAATAAAAGAGGAGGATGCTGGGGATGGAGAAAAATAAGGAGTGAGTGATCAGGTCTGAAAAAGAAGTGAACTTTATGAAGTGAGAACCCCGAGAGCTGTTGGTCTGGACCAGAGCCAGGACGCCACAGGTGCGCTAGCTAACCAGGTGCACTGTGGGTATTTTTCTGTCGCAAATGAGTCATTGAGACCAGTAAAATATGCAGTTGGAAGATGACTTTAATAAACATGATTGGCAGTTTATTGCCATTGCAGGGTATTTAATTAGTTTATCATCATTATTATGCATAAGCAAGGACGAGCACAGAAATGCACATGCAAACTTTTATAGTCTCTTTCCAAGGTTTGTTATAACTCCATACTTTCTTTTTCTCATCCATTCTCCTTCATATCTTGTATTTATACAGAAGTTTAGGGTAAGTTTAAAAAAAAATACTTCTTTTCAGCAAGACCACATTAAATTGATCAAAAGTGACAATAAAGACATAAATGATGTTACAAAAGATTTCTGTTTTAATTAAATGCTGTTCTTTTGAACTTTCTATTCAACAACGAATCCTAAAAAAATGCATCACTTTTTCCACAAAAATATCGAGCAGCACAGCACAGTTATTGATGATAATAAATGTTTCTAATATGCAAATCAGCATATTAGAATGGACTGGAGTACTGATGCTGAAAATTCAGCTTTGCCATCACAAGAATAAATGACATTTTAAAATATATTCAAATAGAAAACTGTTCTTTTAAATGGTAATGATATTTCAAAATGTTACTGTTTTTACTGTATTTTTGATCAAATGCAGACTTGGTGAGCATAAGAGACTTCTTTCTAAAACGTTAAAAAACTTACTGACCCCAAACTTTTGAACAGTAGTGTAAGTTTTCAATAAAACATTATTTTATGAAACATTAAAACTAGGGATGCACCGATACCACTTTTTCCAGTACTCGCCCGATACTGATACTTTTATTTTTGGTACTTGCCGATACCGAGTACCGATACCAATTTTTTTATTGCATTTGTAAATTTTTTTAATATTGGGTACAGAAACCAAAAGAGTATGTATAATGTTAGTTGGTTAACTTTATTTATCAAATAGATACAGTCAAACCAATTTATTCAGACACCTTCAACATTTCTCACATTATCACAGTTACCGAACTACAAACTTTCCAGTGATGTCTGTGAGAAAGGTATATTCACTCGACAAGCTCGCGCATCTGCGCCGCCGCGCGCTCAATCCACTCAGCGTGCTTTGCTTATCAACTCGCGCACATCAGCAATACAGTCAATACTGAATATTTAACATTATATTCATTGCATACATATACTTCATAGACATCCTTAATCTCTAATATGAATATGGCACTTATCACATGCTGTGTAGTATCGGCATTTGGTATCGGGGCATTTTAACGAGTACGAGTACGAGTACAGGAGCTCGGTATCGGGCCCGATACCGATACCAGTATCGGTATCGGTGCATCCCTAATTAAAACATATGTAGTAGTTTATTATTGCCATTGTATTACTGTAAACTGTTGTATCATATTTAGTTAAGTTATTTTTCTGTTTATTGTTACCGAATGTTGGCATTTAATAATGTAGAATAATGGGGGGGGGTTTATTAATTTAGCAGATGCTTTTGTCCAAATTGAATTAAAAATGAGGGGAAAATACAATAAAGGAGTCAATAATGTTTGCGGTGAAGTTACTCTATTGTAAGATTTTATTGAAAAACATTAACTGCATTTTTATGTCACTTTTTCTGTTGAATAATGAAAACGGCTTACTGAAAAAATAATAATAACAAAAACAGCATGGTATTTTCATGATTTTCATCCAATATAAAACATTGCATTCCTTATTTAAAAATGAAATTAGTAATTATTAACTAAAAAAATAATTCAAGGTTGCAAAGACATTAAGTACTTAAACTACAAATAAAATAATTATCTGTGGTCACATGGCAAGGCAGAAGATATGTACCTTTTTTATTAAACCAAATAAAATTGCAATGTCATAAGAAGAGATATATTTCTGGAGCCAGGGAACATTTGACTTGATTTGATTTGATAAATTTGACTTGTACTGTACACTGCTATTATGCTTCCCCTATTTTTGTCTTATATCAGCCGAAGAGACTTTTTCTTGTTTCTATGGTGCAGACAGTGAGAGGGGGTGTAGAAGTAACGTAGAAAAACATACCTGCTACATCACAACTCATTTTCGCAAGTAAACTGCTGTAAATGAGCGATAGAGAAGTGGAGTTTGTGTCTTATTTTGGGGGGCAGTGCCCTGTGCCTCCTCAGAGGCCGTGAATGTCTGTATGGCCTATGCCAGGATCCTCCACTGCGTACGGGTCCATTCTCCTTCCTGCTGGTAGCGTGACAATTGGCATTATTAAAAATTGATTGCCGCAGACCATTCCATGGCTTACATGTATTATTGAGCCGGAGTCAGTCGGGAATCTGCCACAAGTGAAGGAAGTAGAACGAAACACTTTATGATGCTTAGTGTCTTTTAGTGAGACCTCACACACACACAAACACACACATTTGTATTCAAGTGCCACTCACACACATAAACAGAGATGTATGCAAATGTGTAGCATGCTCTGTCTGACATGCGTTTCTTTTAATACTTCGTTCTGAATTGCTTTGTGTGTCTGATGTTTACTCTGTTCTGTTGTAAAGCTGTAAATTAGTCATTCTAAGAAACATTTGCCTTTTCCTTTTTTTTTTTTTTTTTTGTAAAAATGCAATATTCTTCTGCATTATCCTATAAGACAAAAAATATTTTTACGTGCTAATACATTGCATCACATCATCTCAAGCTAAATAATATGTGACCCTGGACCACAAAACCAGTCTTAAGTCGCTGGGGTATATTTTTAGCAATAGCCAAAAAAACATTGTATGGGTCAAAATTATCGATTTTTATTTTATGCCAAAATCATTAGGATATTAAGTAAAGAATAAAGATCACATTCCATGAAGATATTTTGTAAATTTCCTCCGGTAAATATTTCAAAACTTAATTTTTGATTAGCAATATGCATTGCTAAAAACTTCATTTGGACAACTTTAAAGGCGATTGTCTCAGTATTTAGATTTTTTTGCACCTTTAGATTCCAGATTTTCAAATAGTTGTATCTCGGCCAAATATTGGGCCTATCCTAACAAACCATGGAAAGCTTATTTATTCAGCTTTCAGATGGTGTTTAAATCACAATTTTGAGAAATTGACCCTTATGACTGGTTTTGTGGTCCAGGTTTACATGTGTTGAGATATTCTATGTTGGGGTGGAACACTGCTGGAGGTCACCTGTTATGGTTATGTTGTAAGGTTATGGCTTTCTATTTACTTAAGCTTTCAATAGACTTTTCTATAAATAGCAGGAAAAAAGTAAGCAAATTTGTCTGCCTATTTCATGTGCCAGGGTGGATGTGTTATGCTTGAGAAATTGTGTCAAGCATGAAAGATCAACAATTTATGAATTTATGAATATTAAATGAGATGAGAACTTTCCAACTTTGAACTTGGCTCCTCAAAACTCAAATGATGTCACTTCCTCTTCATTATGTCAATGAATTATTTTGAGGCAAATGGAGTGACAAAATTCATGGAGAGAAGTATTGTTGTTTAAATCAATGTTAATATTAATCTAATTTAAATATATGAATCATTAATTATTAGAAAACTATTTTAGTATAAATTTGATTTTTTTTTTGTACATTTTGACTATGGGTATGTGAAATGATATGAAACATATTTAAGCTTAAATTCATTCAATTTCATTAATTACGATGACTGGGCATGTAAAAATCAGCACATAAAATAATATTTTATAAGCTGATCATTGAATTTGAATAATTCAATTTGATGACTGCACATGTAAAATCATCATTATGATTCATTTTGAATAAACATTTAAGATTATTCTTTATTTTTTTAAATAATTTTGATGACTGTATGGAGCTTGTAAAAATGACAGGAAATAATAGATTTTTCGTAAATATTTAAGTTTATGATTCATTCTGAATTACGTACAGTAAGCTTAATCTTTTTGTAATTTTTAAAGAATTTCAATCTATCACATGAAATAATGCTTTGAAAAAAATAATTCCATAATTTTGAATGAACACATTTAAGCTCACAAAATACTTACAAGCAGCTTTTTTTGTGGACATTTCATCAAACGTATGGACACAAATGGTACTGGAATGGCTCATATACAACCGTATTGATACTAACTGCAATTGTGAACACTTCACTTGAATAGTTTTTGTTCTCAGCTACAAATCTAATGTCTTTTCTTGCCTTTTTCCTCCTCCTTTCTGTCTGTCCTGTCTTTTCCCCTCCCTCGTTCTTCTCTCTCTGTTGCACAGATGAACAGGCCAATCCAGGTGAAGCCAGCTGACAGTGAGAGCAGGGGAGGTAGATTTCCACTTCTCTTTTTTCTTCTTCCCTTCCTATTTCTCCCCCCACCTTCCTGTCACTCTAAATCAGTGTCACCATTACCGGTAGATGTCCCCTTCTTAAGTGTCATATATAATGACGCACCTCGATGAGACCCGACAGTCATACAGGGCCCCAGAGGATCTTGGGCCGGCCCTCACACGCCTTACATAAGTGACGGTCACTCTGATTATTACCCTCCACTGAGGTGCTAGGAGAGCTACGTTTTAGTACGTTTAAGTTTTAGTGGTTTTAGTTTTTGTATGGTACTGTTGTACTTGTATTCTAAATCAGTGTCACCATTACCGGTAGATGTCCCCTTCTTAAGTGTCATATATAATGACGCACCTCGATGAGACCCGACAGTCATACAGGGCCCCAGAGGATCTTGGGCCGGCCCTCACACGCCTTACATAAGTGACGGTCACTCTGATTATTACCCTCCACTGAGGTGCTAGGAGAGCTACGTTTTTTTAAGTTTTAGTGTTTTTAGTTTTTGTATGGACATTATACTGTTGTATGAAAGAGTAAAAATTTAGTTTTATGGTAAATTTAAGACTAACAGTGTAAATTGGAAAACAGATGTTTTATTATGTTTAGTGTTAGTATTGTATTTATGGCTTCTCAAGACTCAAATGAAGTCACTTCCTTTTCATTATGTCGTTTAAAATGAATTATTTCAAGTGGTGTGACGGGAAATACAAATTCATGGAGAGAAGAATTACCATTGTTAAACTGAATTTTAATAAGATATGAATTTTCAATTATTAGAAATCTCTTTTAAATATTAATTTGGTTATTTGTTTATTTTGATTATCTATGGAAGCTTATTTCTGCCATGGTATTTCTCTCACAGTTCAGATTTGAATTTCTTCTCACAATTCTAAATGTACAACTTGTGATTCTGACATTTTTTCTCAGAATTCTGAGTTTTACATGACGCAATTCTGTTTTTATTTCCTCCACAGAATAAAAAAAAAAGGTAATTGTGACGTTTTATCTCATGATTGAGAATTCTTACTTTTTTCTTGCAATAGCGAGTTTATATCTCGCAATTATGACTTTATATGTCTCTCTATTTTTTTCTCAAAATTGTGAGAAAAAAAGAGAATTTTGAGATATAACCTTTGTGAGAGAAGTGTCAGAGTTGTGATATAAAAAGTAGCAATTACCATTTTTCATTTTTTATCCTGTGGCAGAAACAAGCTAATTTATTTATGATTATGGGTATATATATAAAAAAAAATCATCACATGGAATAATATTTTAAATAGAATATTTTATTAATAGAATATATTTATTTATTTATTTTCTTAATATCAGTTTAGTGGTTCTAGATAGCATAGAAAACTGAAAAAAAATGAAGCCAGATGCTTTGAAGCACCAGAACATTATTGTTTATGGAGAACATAAAAATGAACATCAAAAGGTTCTCCTATGACTTCCTAAGAACTTTAAAAGGTCCCTTGTTGACATCATAAGAACTTAAGAAGGTTCACCTATGACTTAATAAAAACTTAAACATGTTCTCATGTGGCATATTAGTAAGTTCTCTTATGAAGAAACTCTTTTGCCTGTGACATCATAAGAACATAAGGATGCGCAGGGAGTTCTTGCCCAGAATGGAACCATACCGCCAATCAAAATGTATGCTAATTGTCAATCATCTTTGACGATAGTGGTCCTGACAGAAATGATATAATATTAAGTTTGTGTGTTTGTGTTCATGGGAGTGAGACTGAGTTTCCATGACTTTGCATGTGTGTGTCTGTGTGTCACTTACAGACAAAGTGGAAGTAGTTTGGTGAGCGATAGCTCGTCTTTCCCCCCTTTTTGGGTCAGATTTTTCAGATAACCAAGATTGATGGACCCACAGAGAGAGCAAGTCAGACATGGAGGCACCTCTCTCTCCTTCACAGCGTCTCCCTTCATTTCATGCCATACGTTCGGTCCTTCCTCTAATTGAGAGTGTCTTCCTTTACTCACACTTGACAGATCAATTGTCTTTGTTGTGATGGACAGTTGAATTTATCCCCCTGTTAGCCCTGTAAAAACGCAATATATGTCCCTGCAAAGCCCTCTGATTCCACTGGCAAAACTGATGTGCCGTCCCCAACCGATCCATTCACTAGTCATTTAAAGTGAAACGCCGGGATGGAGAGAGAGATCTAAAGGTCAAAGTGGGAAAGACAAGGAAAGGAAGTGAGAGGCACAAAGACAGAAAGAGACTTAAAGCAGAGTTAGAAAGAAGACAAGGAGCTGGGGGCTGGTCATGAGAGACAAATAAGGATGGATATCAGAGGGAATGAGAGGAAACAGTTGGAGACATGGGTTAGAGACAACTAAACGAAAGACTTGTTGTTCTAAACAAAATAGCTTTTTCTGTCCCACCATTATCAGAAAATGTGCACAATGTGATTTACACGTATAGAACAACATTCCCGTTGACCAATCAGAGGCATTAAACCAAACCCTGAAAAAATCCTCAAGCCATGAAATCAGCGGACAGCAGCTGGTTGATTGGAATGCTGTTCCTGGAACAATGTCATTTTTAAGTTTTAAAATATATATTAAGGTGATTTACATATAAATTATTGAGACATTTTGGGAATCAGACTGCTGGATTTATTTATGGTCCAAGGGCTGAATGTGTTTTTATTTATTTATTTATTTTTATTTAATTGTTAATTTTATTTTGATTTACCTTAAATCAAATTCATTTTGTAGTTCATGTCTTCATATTCACTCCCTTTTCTAAAATGTATTTTTTATTATTGTCGTATTTTTATTTTATCCAAAAATGTATCAAATAGAATTTTATAAAATGTATAAAAATGGTTTATTTTAGCTTTGATTACGTAGATTTACCCTAAAGCAGATACAGATTTTAGATCATTTGTCTTCACAATTACTCTCTCTCATTTGACATTTCTATTTAAAAAAAAAAGTCAATTATTTTTAAAAAGTATTATTGTTGTATTTGTATTTTATTTCTAACATTTTAATTTATAAAATTTGACATTTGTAAACATTTGTCACTCCCTCTCATTTTGACATTTCTATTTGTAAAAATGTAATTTCTTTAAATTTATTGTTGTATTGTTATATACATCTATCTATCTTTCTATCTATCTCTACATCTATCTATACATTCACATTTTTAATTTATTGTAATTTTACTAAATTTAAATTTATAAAATATATTATTTATTTATTTTACCTTTATACAGTTGATTTACCTTAAATCATATACAGCTTGTAAATCATTTGTCTTCACATTCACTCTAAGTATTGTTATATTTTTTATTTTATTTATAAAATGTGCAAAATTTACATTTATAAAATGTATAACATGTTTTTTGTTGTTGTTGTTGTTGTTTTATTAACTTTATGCTGTTGATTTACCTTAAATCAAAGGCAGCTTGTAGATTGTTTGTCGTAACACTCTTTCATTTGACATGGTGTTTGATTTTAAGCTATCTTCAGTGGCATTACTGTTACCTGTGTCTTGTGTGCGTCTTATTCCGCATATGCGCACCTCACTTGTAAACATTCCCCACAGAGAGAGGCCGGACTAGAGATTAGTCTTGTTGACTGGGCAAGGACACCCTGTCAGAGCATGTTAGTGAGCGGCAGGCCTGGACAAACACAGGAACACACATACTCCTACACAGTAGCGCTCATTAATATCTCTGCTGCATCATCCATCATACACACAAACACACACACACACACATTACACATACACTTTTATTAAGTTTACCTATACAAACCCACCAGCATGATCAAATAGAACGTTCAGTTAAAGCACATTTTTCTATAACCATTTACACACAATTGTTTTAAGCAAGTCTGTAATTATAACTATATTATATTTATAGTCTTTATTAAAAAAACAATAGAAGTCTAGGGTAGGTCACCATTTAGATAGAAAGATAAATATGTGTGTGCATGTTTACACACTGTCATATTCAGTCCAATTCCCTCGGTGCCCTATAAATATGTGCCTTGTTTTTTAACTCTGTGCCTCGTCTTGAGTTTAAAACATGCAGCATTGACATTGCAATTACAGCCTAATAAAACCCTGAAACAATACCGCTTTTGTTCCCCTCACGCTGATGTGTAATTCAATAATGTCTACATAATCCGATAAAGAAAAGCACAAACAATAAACAAGGACTCCTGAGGTGGCAGAATCGACTAGGCGAAAGGTTCTCCACAGATATCTCGCTCATGAACTCATTTCATTATACAGTAGCACCAACAGGCTTTTTTAGTGCTTTTCTGGATTTAGCCACAGAAAATTGTATATTAGGTGGATAAAAAGCATGCATTGTGGGATTGTTCCAATGTGTTTGAAGAGCTTCTATTTATTTTGGGACTTTTAAAAAGTTTGTCTGTGCTGTTGCACTTTAGTAATGGTGACTTTTAATTGCTTTTTGATGACATTTTACAGTACTCACCTCATGCTTGTTTATTTTGAGTATTATTATAAGATTCAGTCGTCTTTAATAATAAAATGCTCAAATTTTTGCAAACACTGAGGAAGATGCAAACAGCATATACAGTAAAATATAGTAAAAATAGAAAAGGTGTGGATATATTGAATTGAGCAATAGCACAAGACATCCGACAGATGTTGTTTTTTACCCTGTGTAGTCTGTAACAACTTCTCTGTGTTTGTTTCAGAAGACAGAAAACTCTTCGTTGGCATGCTGAATAAGCAGCAATGTGAGGACGACGTGCGGCACCTTTTTGAGTCCTTCGGGAGCATTGAGGAGTGCACCATCCTCAGAGGTCCTGATGGAAACAGTAAAGGTTATTGGCTTCAGTCTGATTTTTTACAATCACTGAAGTGTACTTTTCAAGTCTATATGTTAAAGGGGTCATATGATGCTTTTTTAAAGATCATTATTTTGTGTATTTGGTGTAACAGAATATGTTGACATGCTTTAATGTTCAAAAAACACATTATTTTTCAAATACTGTACATTATTGTAGGTCCTCTATGCCCCGCCTCTCTCAAACGCTTCGTTTTCTACAAAGTCCCTCCTTCCGACAAGCACAGTCTGCTCTGATTGGCCAGCTGACCCAGTGCACTGTGATTGGCCGAACACCGCAAGCAAAACGTCGGAAATGTAACGCCCCTTACCATAAACGCGAGCTTCATCTTTCAAAATAAATATAAAGACAGACACACACATACACACACACACACACACACACACACACAGACATTCCCAGACTGTATTGGTTTCAACTTCAAAGTCTTTTAATTATTTTTGGTTATCGTTTTTGCTTTTTTCCCCTTACTAAGTCATAGTAAATAAGAGTGTTTTTTATTCTTGTTTGGTAAGAGCCATAGATGGTTTATAAGGGCATATGCCCAGTGGTCGGCTGGTAGCTGTCACAGTGCGAGTCTGTGTGTGTTGTGGATTGGTATTCATGTCCAGTGCCACAAAAAAAAAAAAAGCAAATGCCTGTCTCCTGGCTGTATCCCAGTTTTGCAGGAAGTGATGTTTAGGGAAGACTCGGAGAAGGGCGGCCTGGGCGTGGCACAGAGAAGTTGTTTTGGTGTTCAGGGAAGCTGCTTCCTGTCGTCTCTCTCAGAAGGTATAGAACTCCCTCAGACGTTAGTGTCATGCAGTGTTGTTTTACTGTGTGTGTCTGGTGTGTGTGTGTATATATGGTATACTGTAGACAGAGGGAGTGAAAGACATGTGAGTAGTTTCTTCATGTTTGTTTGGTGTGGTCAGCTTTGTAGAGTGATGTTGTTGTTGTAGTGTGGCTGTAGTTTTATGTGCATGCATTGTATTTGGAAGACGCTTTCATTTAAAGTGACTCGCTCAAGGGCACAATGGTGATGCTTATGCCTTCCGGAGTTCAATCCTACAAGCTTTTGGTTAGCAGCCCACAACTTTGTCCATTAAGCTACACAACAACCAACAGTGAACTGTGTTTCCTTTAAAGGGATAATTCACCAAAAAATGGTATCCTCATTTACTCACCCTGACCCAATGTTGTTCATGCTGTTTCATACAGCAAAAAAATATAGGGACATAGGAGCATTGAATAGTAAGAACAGGCAATATTATATAACAACACACACAAGTCACATTTATTTATATAGTGCTTTATACAATACAGAATGTGTCAAAGAAGCTTCACAGTAATAAACTAACAGTGAGAAAATAACAGTGTTATTGTTGCAGAATTCATCACTTATGAAACAAATTAAGTTTTTAGTTTTAGTTCATTTTTAGTGTTGATTCAGTTCAGTTCAATAACAGTGTCAGTTTTGCAAAGTTCATCAATTATGAAACAAATTCAATTCAGTTATCAGCAGCTCTATAGAAGGCAATGTTGCCATTATTCAGTTCAATTGACCCTTCGCAAAGACCTGCCCCCCCCTTAGTTACTGTTGCTAAGTCTGACAAGCCATGTCGCTCTCACACCACACATCATGTTCTCACGCAGTGAAAAATACATTGTGGAGCAAAGAGGAAACTGACAACACGCCGACAGACAAGACAGAGCAGGTTACTTTTGGTATGAAACAAAGTCTCAGCTTTCAAATTTTGTCATTTTTTAAGAAATTCAAACAATAAATGCCGTTTTGTGGCTCTTTAATGTGTCGTGACAGATCACTGTAGCACCTCAGTTTAAGCGGCAAGTGAACTGATCATCTCTTCCTCAAAATAAACATGAATGAATATCAGAAGGTATTTTGTTTCAACCAAAACACACCATTTTTCAAGTTTAAAGTCCACCAACGTTAATCTACTCTCCTGCCTGGTTTGTTTGTCGGACAAAATGGTATATTCAGTGTTATAATTGGTCAGATCGCCTGTCAATCAAAAGGGTCAATTCAGTTCAGATTTTCTTCTCATCTGACAAATAATGAACAATAATTTTGATTATATGTAATATTTATTGATATTTAAATATGCTCTAAAATGCTAAATTAATTTTTTTTTTTTTGCAGACGAAAAAAACATTTTAATTAAATGAATAATGAAAATATAAGAATTAAAATACAATAAAAGTCTTGATTGCATTAAAATGTAAAAATAATTAAGGCATGTTTTTGAAATAATGAACAATAATTTTGATTATATGTAATATTTATTGATATTTAAATATGCTCTAAAATGCTAAATTACATTTTTTTTTTTTGCAGACGAAGAAAACATTTTAATTAAATGAATAATGAAAATCTAAGAATTAAAATACAATAAAAGTCTTGATTGCATTAAAATGTAAAAATAATTAAGGCATGTTTTGCGTACTGTTTTTCACTAAATGAAGTATGACATATAAATGTTAAAATGTAAAATTATTAAAATTATTATTGTTATATTATATTATATATTATTTATATTCACTAATATTACAATACATATAATAAACAGCAATATTTACCTATATATATATATATATACCAACAACTATCATTGAACTGTTGTGCCTTTAAAGAGATAATTCACCAAAAAATTACATTTTACCATCATTTACTCAACCTCATGTCGAAACACAAAATAATATAATAACATGTATATTATGCATATTTATGCAATTTCAATTACAAAACAATCTGCATAACAAGACGAACATTGCAAGAATATTAGAGAAATATTAATATTGAAGTTCTCTGAGGCCGTTTTCATGTTCAATACGTTTCGATAACTAAAATGATGCTTTCAGTTACCCAGGTGAGCAGTCTGATATTTTGCATTGCCATGGATGGCAACAAATGTTAGGAAATATCTGACGCCTGAATGCTGTGACTGACCAATCAGAAACAAGTATTCCAGAGAGCCAGCGTAATTTTCAGTGTAATTCACTGAAAATCTAGGCCATCTTCATCTTCTTTTATGTTCATACAGATTTGGAACGACATAGTTCATTTTTGGCTTAATTCCCCCTGCTTTTAAGTGTAATGTTACTCACAAGTCCATCAAATGAGCCCCAAGCACACAATCCTGAGCGTGGATGCTGCCGTATTTACCGTGTTAGTGTTTTAGCAGCGTTAAGTTAGCAGGCTGTGAGAATGTGTATCAGTGCGTAGAACAGGAGCGTTGCGGGCCGGGCCTGAATTGCCTTTATTACTGTGAAAGCTCTCAGCTGATTGATGTGCCGTGTAGAGCTGTAGATCTATATTGTTCTCTGTACACTCTCCGGCTGTCTTTCCAACACTCGGGCAGTGGGAAAGCTTGGCAGGGCCCCGTGCGAGTCCCACGGCTTAATTGTTTGGGGGTGAACGGTGAGGGGGAGGGAAGTGAGGTAAGATCATTCTCGGTGCACAGCTCTCCCTGAACACACTCAAGCGCACTCAGTGACCCCGACTGTGTCTATAACGCTCTCGTCTCTCTTTCCGCAGCTCAGAGTCCCACTGCAGCAGACCCCCTACAGCAGGCCTACGCTGGAGTCCAACAATATGCAGGTCTGTCACTCAAAGGAGGCTGTTTGTGATTTTCCTGCTTCCCAGTTAATAAAAAGTGCATGCGCTGTGTCTACCAGTGCTGGAATAAGAGGTGTGAAGTGTGTGTGTGTGTGTGTGTTATTTGACACATTGGCGTGTGTGTGTGTGTGTGTGTGTGTGTCTCAGCAGCCTTCCCCGCTGCATATGGACAGATCAGCCAGGCCTTTCCCCAGCCACCTCCCATCATCCCTCAGCAACAGAGAGAAGGTGAATCTGTCAGATATGTCACCTGTAAGAGTGAAGGATTCAACATGGTCACTCTCTGTGACATTTTCCGTAATTGTCTTTTCATTGATGTCCTATTAAAGTGAGATTTTATACATCGATTGTGCTGTATGCAGCTCAAAAGTTAATGGTCAGTAAGATTCTGAAAGGACGCATTAAATTAATCAAAAGTGACAGTAAAGACATTTATTATGTTACAAAAGATTTCTGTTTCTGTTCTTTTGAACTGTTCAAAGTAAAATAAAAAAAGTATCACCGTTTTCATACAAATATTCTGCAGGAACTATTTTCATTGATAATAACAACACTGATGATAATAATAAATGTTTCTTAAGCAGCAAATCAACATATTAGAATGATTTCTGAAAATTCTGCTTTGCAACACAGGAATAAATTACATTTTTAAAATATATTAAAATAGAAAACTGTTATTTTAAACTGTGATAATATTTCACAACATTACTGTTTTATTGTATTTTCCTTGATTGCCCTAGACAATACTTTGGATTTGATACTAAGTAGACATAATGAAATCCTAGCAGTAAAGAGTTCAACAAACCCTAACAGGACGAGTTAAAATGATTGTCTCTGGTGAATGATGGCCTGTCAGAGATCAACAGACATTAAGGAAATAACCTAGAATGATCCTTTAAGATTTGGTGTTTTTGGCTGACTTTGTAAAACATTAAACACAAGATTGTGGTTTCGTCTCCCTCCAGTGGCTGCGATTATAAACTATAAAGAAATATTACCAATAAACCATCATACAGAGTCACGATCTGTACTCTTACTTTACAAAAAGGAAGACTGCTATGCAGATGACAGGAACCCATGTGCACGATTTGTCAATTGAGGAGTGCAGATATAAAGAGAGTTTCATGTCTGTGGTTCTCATGATCTGTTATGCATTATAGAATGTTAATTAAAGTTATTAGAAACCGATGTACACGGGTTCTTTTTGAGACAACGGACAAAACCAGCTTAGCTTTGTTCACCATATATTTGTTGATTCTAAAACAAGAAATTATGCATATAAAAATGAGTGCTGTCAAATGATTAATCACGATTAATCGCATCTAAAATTAGTTTTTGTTTATATATATGTGTACTGTGTATATTTATTATGTATATATAAATACACAAACATACATGTATGTATTTAAAAAATATTTACATGTGTATATATATTTATTTTCATATATAATTCATATTATATATATACATATTTTATATATAAACAAAACATATATTTTTCTTAAATATATACATGCATGTGTGTGTATTTATATAAACATAATAAATATACACAGTACACACGCATATATTATGTAAACAAAAACTTTTATTTTGGATGCGATTTAATCGTTTGACAGCACTAATAAAAATATAATAATGTACTACAAACTTTATACAAAATAAATACAACACCAATGATGTTTTATTAGCATTGCTAGTTTTTCAATCATATATCTTTGCACAGCCAGTATATGCTGCAGTCATTCCCTTTGGATTGTGGTCTGTGGTGTTATGATGGGCTTTAGATTTGTCCCAAGAAATTAAAAACAAACTTTGCAATCAGAGTAAGTGCTGTGATTCGATGAAAAAGCTCAAGGTCAGCAGAGGAGATCATAATGACGATGATCCGTGAACTAATCATTTTGATCAAGCAGTTCGTCCTTTCTCCATATACAAATGTTAAGAATTGTAAAAGAGTTTCGCCTATACAGTGCTTTTCTGTCATTTTACACTCAGTTTGAAGGAAGAGCTAATCTAAAACAACTCTTTTCAGGAGTGCCTGAAGAACCTGGAGGTGTCACCACCGAGTATTTGTTTGTACGGTTATTTCATCTATACAACTTAAGGAGAGAATTGCTATTTCAGATGCCAGGGCAACTGCTCAATAAAGAGAAACTGTTTTTATAGCTTCTACTTTGGCAAGCCGAGTCTAATTTCACCATTTGTCTCTTTGTTTGAACCTGCATCTCTCTTTATTCCTCTCATTTGCACCTATTCTTTCTGTGCTACCTGTCTAACCGCCTCTCTAATCCTCTGTATCCCACAATCCTCCTTGTCTTTCTCTCTCTTTCTCTGTCTCCAGGGCCGGAGGGCTGTAACCTGTTTATTTATCACCTCCCTCAGGAGTTTGGGGACGGCGAGCTGATGCAGATGTTCCTGCCTTTCGGTAATGTCATCTCCTCCAAAGTGTTTGTGGATCGGGCGACAAACCAAAGTAAATGCTTTGGTGGGTAAAAATGATAAGACACCTGTGAAGATTATTCTCATTCCTACTCACACTATTAACATTTTTACCTCATTTCTCTACCACAGCGAAGCTTTCGTTTGAAGCCGGGTGCGCACTGTGTGGTTTTTGCTCCAATTTCGCCCGTTTTAGGGATGGTAGGGCTAAATTGAGTTTTAGATCACTTAGTATGACATGCTCACCAATGAGCGATAAATTCTTTTACGATGAATCGTAACTTCTGAAGTTCTTCCAGTGTCTGAAATTTTGACGGAAACTATGAAGAACCACTTGTATACAACATATTCCACATAAATATCTTATGATGATATGTTATCATTGTAATCAGACTATTAAAAAGTTCACACTTAGCAAGTTGTTTGGGGTTTTTCGTTTTGGATTTATGTTATTAATTCGGTTTTGTGTGAAAATGGCAATGTCAGAACAAAGCTGGACTGGTGACACGGTCAAAGTCGTAGATAATATGTATATTTTACACCTAAAATGTCGTTTCATTGTACAGTCTAAGAAGCACCAATCAAAGAGGACAGAAAAAAATTACACAGTGTTCACCTGGCTTAAGACAGAAAAAAAGAATGAATGGAAAATTAAAGGGAAAAAAAGAAGAGGATGTACTGTAGAGTAGCATCTTTATGTCCTTAATCAGCGCGGGACATGAGGCTGTAGGGGGAAACCGCAGAAGCATGTTCGCGTGTCCCGCTCGTGACTAATGTGAACCTCTATATTTTAATTAGTGCTATCTGCAGCTTCACTGGCTCCTTGACTTATCAGAGGCATCCCATGCATGAACAAACACAACGCTGTTCGATTTCAACTTAATATAAACGCAGTTAGCAGGAGGTGTTTCACAGTCTCAGACGTGATGATTTGAAATGCTGAGCCAGCTGAAATGTTCACAATACCTCAAGACAGAACAACTGAGAGTGAGAAAGTAGATGAGAAAATGAGAGCAAATAATTTGCGTTGAAATGTTCGTGTTAACTGAACAGAATTTTGCTGTCATTGCTAAGACTTCAATAACAAGTTGAAGATGATTTACACCATACACTTTGCTTACCAGAAAAAAATATATAACTACAAATATATAAATCGTAAACAAAAATAAATAATGCATTTTTGTTGTAATTCAAGCTACCTTTTTAATGAAGTAGCTACACTACAAATTACAAACAAACATAAACTTTACTTAAATGGGCAATATTTCTTAGACCCCATAAAATTTAAATGACAGTTTTATGGCTTTTAGTCCATGTTTGTTAGCTTTAACTCTATCTAAATACTAGCACACTTCGAAAAGTTTTCCACGAACCAAAAATATTAGCGATTCATCTTGCACACACACTGTAAAGAAAAATCAGTAACATTTACGGTAAAATACCGGCAGCTGTGGTTGCCAAAACTTTACTGTAAAAGATATGGTTTCAGCATTTTAGGATTTACAGACTTAAATTTACAGTAAAAAAAAAAAAACGTATTTCATTAACTGATAAAAATGTTATTATACCAACCTATTTAAGTACTAATATCTGTTTTGTAGCATTGAAATACACTGACAGCCACCAAAAACAAGTGGTGATGAGAAAGACACATGATGAATCAAAGCTCATCACAAACAGCTTTTCCAGAAGTTTAGGAGGGAAAAAATCCTAATGTACACAACTGAGAAGATTGAGAAGAACTGAGAAACAGTTGTTTCAACAAAAAAAAACTTATTTTTTTAACTTTTGTACACCAGATCGACATTTTGAAAAACAGCTTATAACTGGAAAAACTATTTCAAAAGATTTTGACAAAAAATGTAACCAACTAAGCCATTTTCACTCACTGAAAGTGTAGTTAAGTTAGTAGTGTCACTATTTGTACTTCCCAGTGTGGCTGCTCGCATAGCAGAAATACAAATTTTCATTTCAATTTTACGAGACATTACACTATCTGAACATTAGCAGGTTAATTATTTTCTGTACTCTGCATGTCATTAAACAGAAGATCTGGCTAACTCTTGCTAATGCTAGGAGCGACTGGATATTGTGTATTAGATTTTGCATGTTCTCTGTGCTTCTGATTATTGTGTATAATATGTAGGCTGTTGTACTGTATTGATGGACTTTGTGCATATATGTTCAATGTTAAACGTGGTAAAAATGTGTCACAATGACTTAAGTAAACTTGTTTGATACCCTTTGCTCCTTCATTCATTTCACGCTCACCTCATTCTTTGTCATAAAATCATTTCTGGCCTCATTTCTCCCCTTCCCTCAATCCCATCTAATGTCCATCTGTCCATCGCATTACCTTCTCATCCATCTGGTGCTAACCTGTCGTCTTCTCTCTGTCTCCATCTTTCTCCCTTCGTTCTCCAGGCTTTGTGAGCTTTGATAACCCGGGCAGCGCTCAGGCTGCCATCCAGTCCATGAACGGCTTTCAGATCGGCATGAAGAGACTCAAAGTGCAGCTGAAGAGGCCAAAGGACGCCAACCGCCCATATTAGCCCCGTCCCTCTCCCCAGCCACCCCTGACCCTGGGGGTGAAGGCCGCCGCTGCGCACAGGGAAGAACAGGTTAGCCAAATCACCTTGGAGCCAAAAGACACAAGGATACATACATACTATACAAGTGAACACATCAGTTCAGTCAAATTTGTGAACCGATTCATTGAAAAGTATGAGTGATTCATTCACTGACTCGATTTCTGTTCTTACTCTGCATAATTCAATAAATAATAAGTCTTTTTGAATATATAGATTCACTCTGAAATAAAAGTAAAACGGTTTGCAGGTGCTGTTTCATGTTGACTTTAAGTCCGAGTATAACAGCATATGATATAAAATAGGACCCTTCTCTAGTCTGGGCAGTGCTGTGGCAGAGGGGGAAAGATTAGTCATTTCTATGTATTTCATTTCATCTCACATCTCCTCATCTAAATGAAGATGGAAAATTTACCCTGCTGATGCCTTTTAACTGGGCCAAGTTATTCTACTTGCACAGCTAGTGAGGCAAAAAAGCAAAACTTCATAGAATGTCTTGATGTAAGACTATATTTATTTTTAACATGTTTTTTTTTTTTCTGACATTCCAAATTTGTATATTTTTTTTTTTTCTGACATTCCAAATTTGTTTATATATACTGTATATATATATATATATATATATATATATACTGTATATATA